ACGCGCCTTCAATCTGTCGGCAAAGTGGCGAATGAGCGGGTGAGTCCGATCAAGAGCGACCTTGCAGGTCGTTGGTAATATGCTTGCTGCTGCCTCCAACTGAGTGACTCTGTGCTCGATGAGTGACTCAGCAGCCAATCTCTGATGCGCCGCATTCTTAATACGCCACTTGTCGTTTTCGATCCAGATGGGAGCGTCATCTTTATCGCTCTGTTCGACTGCATCGGGCACATATTCACCTTCTAATTCCGAATCGCGCAAGGACACCGCATCGTCGATGTCGTCCACTGCACGTCGGAGGATGAAGTAGTTGGGACAATCACGCACGAGATGAGCTGGGATGTCATCCGCGTACGAGGGTAAAGGTGCGCCTTTGAGCCCTCCTTTGGAAAGTGCCAAGACCGTGCCATCCGATCGACGCAAGTACTGCACAATGCTCGCTGAACCATCGCTGTTCCAGATATCCTTGACGAGTGCAACGTCAATGTCCTTGAACTTCAAATAGGCGAAAAGCAAGTCTCGCATCTCGTTGAAATTTAGACCATGACCGCGCGAAGGACAGGTGTAGGCGTAGTCGATCAGTCTTCCATCCTTCAATTCGATCTTGCCAGATCTTTCGTTCTTCTCTCGACCGTGCGCCCAACTACCTGGCAGCATGGATTGTTGAGTCCGCGACTTGCTATCGTGCGGGTCGCTCTGGAAGAACTCGACGCTGTACGTGTCTTGCACGTCGGCGAGAGACGGAAGACTTTGGACAAAGACGGACAAACTGCTCTGTCTGGCACCTTTCCATCTGTACTCTTCGCCTTTGTACCGCACCACGCAGGTCTTGGCCATATCAAAGGCCGCCTCAATCTCTGCCATCATGGACAACGTTGTCGGCACGCCTCTTTTGAGCGAGGTTAGGACAAAGGACAAGGCATCATCTCCAGCTTGTAGACTTGCGAACAAGTCGTTGCCCCTCTGGTCACCTTCTCGCAAGGGCAGCTCATTCGCATACGCAAAGCTCCGATTCCATAGCGAGTCTTTGGCCGGATTGATCGTCTTTGGCATCTGGATACGACGCAAAAGGGACGGTCCCATCGTGATGAAAGAGCCGTCCGTAGCAGTGCGCATCTTCCAATGCGGACGTTGCACTTCTGGCACGGGCACATGCCGACCTGTCAGGCTCGTTTCTCCAACAGGACAGCCATACAGCCAGCCGTTCATGCGAGGCTGTCCAACATCCCATCGAAACCAAGCATGCTTGAATAGGTTGTAGTTGCCTGCTGCAGAGACCAGTCCAGGCCTCTGCATCGTCTTGAGAATAGCTTGCGGAGATACTGCCCCTCGTGCGGGACCTCGGAAGCTCGAACGGTGATTCTCGACCGTGACTAGACTGAAGCGACCCAGCGTGCGCATGTTGAGGAAGACGCTTGCGCGCAGAGACGAAGCGCAGGTGGATTGACAGCTATCGAACGTCTCGAACACCTCGTGGATGTAGCCAGGCTCCGGAAACCTCATGCAGTAACTTGGTGCAGTCATAGTTCGGACCTGCTCCTTCGAGTGCAGAGTGAAGTGTGAGACAGTACGCGTGGGT